AATCGTTATTTTTTTAAAACTTCTATATATATTCTTAAATTTGTATGGAAAGTGATCCCCCCCCCCCTTAAACAATATTGGAGATTGGTCTAAAGACACATAATAAATTGATCTCATTTAGTGAGGCACAGAAAATACACCATACACGGACTCACGCCTTGTATTTTATGTACAGGAATACTAACAAAGGATAATACTTCAGAGACGACTGTACTGAATTTAAACTGATTGCTTTCGTTTATTTATGTAAACTTTTCTTTTTCCAATAAAAAGATTATAAATAAGAAAGAATACTTAATTATAAACTTGGAATCGGCAGATTTAAAGATCTTTCGGTCGTCTTTACAGTCTCATTCTTTGTGGGCAACCCTGTTTTTCTATATCGGAGAAATACAGAGTTACCCACATAGGATGAGACTGTAAAGACGACCTGAAACTATAATTAACAATCCTATTATTAAATTAGGTTTTGCCTTAAATATAGTTTATGGTTTAATGAATAAAGAATTTAATAATTGTTTAGATTTGTAGGGAATTTATAAAAAAAGCTTAGATTCTGTACTTTTTGGATCAAATCATTACATTCATCTTGAGAGATCATTATTAGATTGTGTTGAACACGTAAATCAGAAATATTTATATAAATTCATCTTGAAATGTTACACATGTTTTCAATGTAATTTTTATATACAAAAGTAATAGTGCAACCAATAAACAATATTATTCAAATATTTTAAGATGTTTTCACAGTTGTTTTGTTATTTTTTAGTAAATTTAATTTATAGATAATGGTTTCAAATACTTTCAACACATTATTTTTTCTCTTGGAACTTTCTGCCCTTGAAATATTTACATATAAAGCTAAAATTGTATAATTTCATTTTTTCGCAAATTCGAACAAAATAGAATGAATTTGAATTATTAAATTTTAGTAAAAACAAAAATTGTCGAAGAACTGTTAAAAAATTTGTTGTGTTTATACAAATTTGTTTTCAAAAAACCCTTACAAATATGAGATTTTAAAAAGTACATCCAGCAAGTTCCTAAATTCTATTCTAAGCTTTAATCTGAAAAGAAAAAAGTAAGTTGTATATTGTATAATCTGTATATTGTATTGACAGATAATATATTGCTATATTTCTTTTATTGATACAAACAATTGATATGTGAAATAAATAGATAGAAATTAATATAAGTACAGGGTGTCCCACAAAACATGGGAATTCAGTGACGAATTCGATATCGTCTTTGTTATGAATTAGCATCGTAATACCTAATTTCAAAAGCCTTAATATTATTATTTCTGCTAGAGTTTATTTTATGAAAAGGGTAAAAGACTGTAAAATGTGTCTATAATGTTTCCGCATAATGAACAGTGAAGACGGACAAGTTTACTCTTATTGTACGAATTGTACACTGTAATTTTCTTGTTTTACTAAGTACAACCGTATGCAGTCAAAACATAAACAAACAAAATGTGAACATAGCAGACGAAACTCTCGCAGATTACAGCTTTCTCAGCAGGTATCACTATACTAAATATTTGAAAAGACGATATCGAATTCGTCACTGAATTCCCATGTATTTGAGGTGTAAAACGTTAAGCCTGCCTTACCGAAATTTATTAATGGAATTAAGTCTCTGCCACAAACTCAAATTTTCTACTACTTTATAAAAACAAGTGTTTTACATTTTAAAGGGACTGTAAAGGAAAAATGAAAGGGGGTAGGATGAAACCTGAGAATCTCAGTGCAGTATCGTTATCACGTGACTAGTATTCTGCACTGCCATTGGCTGAGATTATTGTGACGTAATACGGACTATACGGATTATATGCAATAATATATTAATTATTTCTTTTAAAAATGCAAAATAAATCTACTGTTGGAAGTACATGTCTACTGTTGGAAGTACATGTCTACTGTTGGAAGTACATGCCTACGTCTAGGGCCAACAATAAAGAATCAGTGAGTTAGTAAGAATAAAATCAAAGACTAAGGCGTTCCGATGCTTCAAAGTCGATCCAGTTTTAAAAATTGATGCAGCGTTCCATATCAGTCTGGATTTATATGATATCCTTGGGTCTAGATATTGAGTTCACTGATCCAGTGAGTTCCAGTAAACAATCCATCTTTAATACACTGAACCTATCCAACCAAACTCTTTATATTCATATAGGACATAGTACACGTATTTTATATACATAATACACAATACAAAGTACATATATTTCATATACATAATGCAATTACATAGTACATGTATTTTTTATTCATAGTACATAATCATGAACTTATACACATGGTAGATACAGATTAAGATTGGTCTTATACAGTATAGGCCGAGGGGGTCCTTGCGCTTTTTGGAGATAACTCAAAAAGTATTGGTTTGAAGCTGTTCATTTTTTTTCACTTTTCTAACGAACACATGAAACTCATAGTCTCAAAGTGGGGCTTTTATGGTTGCCTGAGGCCTTGGGCAAAATAACTGAATACCTTATTTTACCTTTACCAGACTAAATCCATATTTAGATCTAGTTCCGGTCATTGCATTTCGACAATTTATAGCTCTTTTTAAAGCCTTGAACAAAAGAAAGCAGATTGCACAATTTTTGGGGAAACAAATTTACATACAGTAATAACCAGAAAACTCTGGATTAGAAAGTCTACTTTTAGACTCAAGATATGACTTCAAATAGTCCAACGTACAGGAGGCACAGCAATTGTCTAGTGTAAACAGACCCATTCCAATTAACCCTTTCCCTGCTGGGATACTTGAAAACCAGTAAACGCTAGCGGGAGGGTTAATTGGACCACCCCCCTCTGTAAATCTCATGTCAAAATATGACAAATGATACATCATTGGAAAGCTCTTATGCTCTACTTTAAGAATATGTTGAAAATTTGAAAATTTTCAAAAATTGTATTTTTTTTGCAAAATCCAGTTACATATATAGTAAACATGTTTGCAAAAAAAGGTCCAAAAATGAAGTTTTGCATTTTTAAAATCCCTTGACTATACTATTTCAAATTTGCAAAAATTAGTGCAAAATTTTAAGTAACCTTATGCTTTATTAGGAAAAACTAAAAATGTGCAAAAAATATAAATAATTTATATTTTTTTGCAAAACTTGGGCAATCTGCTTCCTTTTGTCTATAGGCTTTCTTAAAAGCTAAAAACCATAGATAAAGATAGATTGCGCATAAGACGACATTTTTAATCTTGAAAGATATAAATGTGTAGAGATGTTTTAAAGATATCCAATTATATAGATTAACTAGGTCTGTTGTGAACATTTGCTGTTCTTATGTCATTAAGTACATGTGGTGTACATGAGTTCTGTAGAGAGAAATTTAAGTTAGTTTAGTCCTTCTCTTGTCCTTCTTCAGTTCTCGTCAATATGATATATTGCTCAGTGAAATATTGTTGTTCAAATAGTTCCATTCCAGAAGTTATTTTACACTCTATTCTATGAAATCCATTAAAACACCAAACCACCCCGCTTATCGTTGAAGTACACTTAGACCCCTAGAAGTATGAGTTCGCGGACTGTACAATTCTTGGTGATTTTGCGTACATAAGCTATCTATGTTTATTTATTTATCTATGGTTTAAGGCCTGTACACTTTTTATTATCTATTTTTATTTATTTATCTATGCTAAAAACTATCAAAATATGACAACTGAAAGTGGATAAAAACAAAAATTCAGCTTGTTATATGAAAAGGAAGTCATTCAGATAGTGTGCCTGAGGACTCAGGCAATTAGGCCTAAAGAGTGAGATATGAGTATTTAGAAAAAGTCAAGTGGGTCAACCTTTATAGCGAAAATTTAGTTTCCGGGTAAATCGTCCTATTGCGGGTAAACGGCTGGAGTAACTATGAGTGTTGAGTACCCCAGGCTAGTAGGGTATAAATTAAGTCAGGTGAATGCTGCAAGGTGGGAAATGAAGCCTTTTATTTATTAGAGTTTGTAAATGCCAGAAATTATGAAATCAAACCCAACTAAAACCNATATTCCCCGCCCGACTGCATATTTTGGGTAAAGTAGACGTCAGCCTGGTATGTTGAATTATTTTCCGAAATAAAATCGCCCTCGATTTGTTTATGTGAAATATTTGTGTGAAAAAGTTATAAATTTTCTACTTTTCGAAAACAAAACATTGATGACTGTTGACTGTTGACCTAAATTCACCTTTAAATCTGGATATTGATGAGGCAAAAATTATGGAGACAAACAAATTAAATTTTTTAATGAAAATTGATAATTTGTTATTGCGGCGTCTTTTTAATAGCCTGCAGAAGTGACAACCATGGAAATCAACACATTTATCTTGAAAAACAGCGGTATTTTCATATGTTTCTCAAATAATCCCAGGTTACCGATTGTGAAAATCGTTAAACGGAGGGTCATTTCAAATTTCGGCGAAAGTCCCTTTAAAAACAAAAACCTTAAAAATCGTGTATCCTGCCTTACTTGAGAATACTATTGAGTTTGTGGTATTACACTCTACTGCAGAGATTCTTATTTGTAATGTATTCTTGGAAAAGAACTTGGATAAAAACTGTGATAATTTTGGATACTCTACCTTACAGGGAGAGCCAGTAAACACGAGAAACCAAATCGTCTTTAATATACGTAACGTTTTCTAATTATTCTCACGTTGTTTAAATTTTAAAAACTAATTTCATCCAATTCCTGTATCGTGTATTTTCCGTATCCTCCCGTATCCCCCTGTATCCCCTGTATCCCCTTTGCTTTCTATCTTTGAACATTAATAAATATTAATTTATTTCAAACACATTTAGATTTAACAATTAAAAATTATAAAAACAGTTTTATTGTGGTAAGAATATCTCGAAGTGCCTAAAAATCACCAGGGTCATAGTTTGAAATATTTTAAAACTTTTCTACAAATTTTTTTTTACAGAAAAATAAACACACTTAAAATTTTTTTTTAAGTTAAGAACCATCGAACTTTTCGTGTTTTTTCGCCTAAATAAATATCAATAAAGGTTTATTTTTAAATCTTAAAGTCTGAAAAAAAAATTTGTACAATAATTTTGGCATAAGTCCTTTTACAGTGTGATTAAGTGATGAAAACATCATCAGGATCATCATCATTCTCCTCCTTGTGAACTTTCAGGGTTCGAACTTTTGCTTTGGAAAAAAACATTCCTAGAATAGTTTTAACAAATTACGTTTTCAAAATTTTCTTGCCAAAAATTACCTAAATTACGTTACAGTGAAAAAAGACCAAAAATGTAAATTATAAAATTTTAGAGAGAAATAATTGGAAACAGGTAAAGAGTGTATCATTGTGAATTTGACAAACCATTTTGTAAACGGAAGGTCAGTTAAAATGTTGCGTACTGTCCCTTTAAGAAATAAGCTTTGTTTAATGTGTGGGTGTAGTGCTATTGTTCTGTGAAAACCAGCCAATATTTGTTATTGTTATATTTTAACCCAATGTGTTTAATGATTAATATACATTCATAGAAGTTCCAGCCACAAACAGTTTAATTAACCATACCATGTTTATTTAAAGTATTTTAATATTTCCAATAATATTGACATCACTTCAAACTAATATTATTGACATCACTTCAAACAAGACAAAAGGAGAAAGGCAAATTTATGCACCATCACTCTCTCATGCTTTCAAAAGTTTACGCTCTAGTTGGAGAAAGCAAACTTATGCACCATCACTCCTGTATTCTTATTTTTATGCACAAGATGGAGAAAGGCAAATTTATGTACCATCGACCATACTTAATTCTTAATTTTACGCACAAGTTGGAGAAAGTCAAATTATCCTGTTTTTGCTCATCTCAATAGCTCTTAAATAAGATTGTTAGGATTGAAAAAAAGATTTATTTTTGACGTGAAATTGACGTGATATCTCCCCTTTTCATAATAACGTTTTTTAAGCATTGGTCATAATTTCAATATTCTGCAAAAAAAAATGTAAATTTCCAAAAATGCAAATATTTATTGCAAAATCACTTATTTAGTAAAAAAATTATGGGGTTGAGGTTGCATAATTCTGTCATGATGTTTTTTTCTGAATAACTTAAAAACGGCTCACAGTTCCCTTTTTCAACTTCCTAGTCGTAAACAAATTTTGCAAAAACAATTATGCATAGGGTAGCGAAGAGGACGGTCAAATGGCTGGCTGGTTGGTGTATCAAAACAATCAATCCATAACTTTTTATTAGAAATGCAATTTTATAATATTGCATATTATAAATTCGAAAATCAAAATTTATTTATTCTTATCAATATGATTAAAAAGGTAAGATTTTAATCTGCATAAAATTTACTTTATTTTTAAGCCTAAAAACTAATTTCCCCAAAAAATCAATCCAATCCACTTGGAACTTTTAAACCAAGCTCTAAGCACATGTATGTGTTAAAACTGCGTTTCCAATGAAAACTTGAGGCAAGGGGTGCCTCAGTTATGGTCAGACAAATAAACAAACTGACAGACATACAGAGATTTCTACGTTATCTATAACTAGCTAGCTGGGGAACCCAGCTTTGTCCGAAAACCAAAACTTCCCTATCTAACTTAACCCGCACAACCTAGAATTTCCAAACCAAGCTATGAACATTCCCGTGGTTTCTTAGTCAAAGTTTAAGGCAAATCAGTCAAGGGGTTCCTGAGTTATGATTGAACATCCAAACATACAGACAGATTTACAAAGATTACAACTTTATATATAGATATAGATGCAAATATTTTTTATTTATTTCATACAAACCTGCAGTTTCACATAATGGTGCCATAGTTGCTGCCATACATACAACCATAAGCTTCCTAAAGTGTAATAAATTACAACCAAAAGCTTCCTAAAGTGTAATAAATTATAATCATAAGCTTCCTAAAGTGTTATAAATTACAACATTAAGCTTCCTAAAGTGTAATGAATTACATTCATGTAAAGATTAATTTACCATCCCAATGAGTTCTAGTATAGGTCTCATTGTTTTTTATAAATAATAAAAATAAATATGGCTGTTTCTAAGCTATATTGTTTATGATAAGTTATTCAAAAGTATTTGATGTTGCACCAATAAAACGTTTAAGAAAAAATTTAATTTCAAGATTTTTTTTTAATGATAAATTCAATCAGATTAAAGTTTTAAAAAAACTTTATGTTAAAATTAAAGTCAATCTTTGTAAATAATTACCACAAATAAAGCAAACATGATAATACTAAGAATTTATAATTCCCTGAAAACTTATGCTTAAAAAGGGTTTGACATAAAAATATAAATTGAAGCACAGAACTCTAATAAATTTTAAAAAATTAGTATAAATGACAATGATAATTTTTTTTGGGTAACCCTGCTGATAATTACTCCTGTAATTAAAGTTATTCAAAAGTTTCTAGAAAAAATTGTGATTATTAAATGTCATTATTATTTCTTTTTCTCAAAAGATATAATTTCGAATTTAAATCTCGAAATTAAAAATGCAAATTCTTACAAAAACAATATAATTTTTTATAATAAATATTTAACCTAATGAATGAGAAGTTGATCTTACATATCCTTAGAAAAGGCCCATTCGCCCAAATATGCTGAAAAACAAATAAAACAAAATTTTAAAAAAGTAAAAAAATATTTTTGTTTCCAAATCTTTTTAAGATTTTGATTGACATAAAGGAGGGAATTGTTGGATCAAAAAATATTTTATAATTCGGGAAACCGTTGAGACTAAATTTTGGCCTGAGTCTTGAGATATGTTGGGAAAATTTTAAAATGTAGTATAATATAAGGTGAACCAATAAACATGGGATTTCATCGATGACTTTTATGTACTCCTACATTTTGTTGACACAATGATAATAAGATCGTTATAAAGTTGTTTTTTCAAAAATGTCTTATTATCTCTAACATAATACAGGGTGTCCCAGTAAACATGGAAATAAGTGACGACTTATATATCATCTATGCGGCATTTTTCCATGAACACAATTGCAGTATTCCAGATTAAATGTCTAATATCGAAATGCTTGGTCTTGAGATTTTTACATTTTGTATCTTCAAAATTGCAAAATTGCAAAATGTGTGCAAATTTCAATTTATTAAATAAATCCAAATTGTCATAATATCTTATATCTTCGTCAATGTTTAATATACAAGAAAGGTATATATGAAAGCTCGTCAGACGTACAGCCTCGTTTTGTTTACTTTATTTGCTATGCAATGAATATCAGAAATCTAAGACGTCTTTCAAGTCGTCTCTCAATTCCAATGTTTCTTGGGACACCCTGTACACCGACAAAACTAATATACTCCGGTCTAACTTTGTACGTTAAAGTTGAAACTTAAAGGTTAAAACTCGATTTTTAAACCGCAGCCTATTTATGCTTCCCTTTCATGGCAATATTTATCAGACATTAAAACCAATTAGATTAACGCCATTTATTAATACTTCCTCATAATACGGATTTAACATGCTTGATGAACTCTAGACTGTTAAATTGATATAAGATAAAAATTCCCCAAAAAGTTAAACTTTAAAATTAAAAATGCTAAGATAAGTGACTGTCTTTAGGCAACATTTATTATCTACCTGAAATGCCATACAGGCGAAGTTGATGCCAGCACAGAAAGCAAAACATGGTGCCGTAAACATAGTCATCAGGATATAGCAACCATTCAGGGTACACTGAATAATATATCAGGATATAGCAACCATTCAGGGTACACTGAATAATATATCAGGATATAGCAACCATTCAGGGTACACTGAATAATATATCA